CTTAACCAAAACTGTGATATAAATGGTTTGGAGTGGACATCTGTGTTGTGTGTTTTATTATTAAAATACAGTTGAGATTAGTTGGTCGGCCCCCACAGTGTGGGGCCCAGGGTTCTCTCAATTAAAAGGTGTTTTCATCCAGAAACTGCACATAACTGGATATTATTTTGTATTGCTCCACTCCCTGTAAACTGTAGAAACTGCAGTGCATGAAATTCCCATAAGGGTGGCCAATGCTGGCATCAACTATCACGCCATGCTTAAATTGACTTTCCGCGTGCGTCTGACAATGCTTAGCTGTAAGTCAGCCTCCTGACCCTGTTTGTGCGCTGTATTTGTGTTCAGTTGCCACCACATGATTCACCGTTTTGTAGGCGAGGCTGTTTACGCTGAAGGGCAGGTGTACCGAGTACATTGGCTACTGGGTGTATGTACAGCCATGGAAGAAATTAAGAGACCATAGCACAATTTTTCTTTCACGCATTTCTCAATTTATGTGTGTCTGTCTGTGAATAATATTTATATATATACACTCATATATAGATATATATGTATATATATATATACTTTTTTTGCAAACTGCAGCCTGGGTCTTCCCTGTTTCTCATTAATGGCTTCTTCCTTGCTTTATGGGACTTCATGCGAACTCTCCTAGCAGTGCACTTCACACCTGCACTTAATGTTTCCCATTCCTGTTGAAGGTCACGATGTCATTCTACGATTCATGCGGAACTGTTGGATAAGCTGACGATCATCTCTAGCATTAGACAGTTGCTTCTGCCCTCTACCTGGCTGGTTTTTGGTCACTGCCAGCGTCTCCTGCTTCGCCTTGGTCTTGTGCACTGCGTCTTAGAAAGCAGCCTGCCTTGCAGTGTGGCCTTCTGCCAGCAGAACCAGGATCGAACCAGGAATTAAAAATGCAGAATTGTTTGAAAATATAGAGTGGTATTATATTTTTTTCCACAGAGGTGTGCATGTCATATCTGAAGCTTTTTTTGTATCTTTTTCTCCAAACCAAGGACAAGACAGCCATATGGCAATCTAAAAGATTATGGAGGTCTAAATCCTATACAGTGACTTTTGTCAAGCAGTTTTTATTTTCACTGCACTTCTCAGCATTCCATTAAAGGTTGCAAAGCCATTTCTATTCATAGCCCATGTTTTCCGTTTAATGCTGGATCCAGGCCAGGACTGCAGGTTTTCCTATGATCTTGCGTTGGTGGCGTGATGGCTCTGCAGGAAGTGCCGTCGCTGCACGCCTCCATGATGTACGATGGATGTTAGGGTGGAAGTGAAACGTACCACAAAACCACCCATGTGGCACATTAGCCTATAAGCATGAGGACTTCCCTACGTTTCTAAGAAGTTTTAGAAGGACATAAAGACAGAACGCTTGTCAGTTTCTAATGCAGCATGTTCAGGTTGTATTAATAATTGGAAATATATCATATTAATTAATAGGTATGTTTTGTAAAGAACTGGGGTTATTAGGTGAATTAAAAATAGTTCATTTATGAAATTGTTTATATGTAACTGATCTCAAAATTGTACTAAATTGAAAAGAAGATTAAAATAAAATAGAGTTGCTATAATCTTACCACTAAATTGAAAATTGGTAAAATGTGGGGAAAATTTAACAATGAAAAATCATAATGGAAGAGGGTGATTTAGGAGAGCATGTCAAGGAGGTCTATGGTCACGCTGGATATCCACTGGAAACTCTGATTCAAAACCTGTAGTCAGAGTTCAGACTAAAATGGCATGGAGCAACTTCCGGTGCGTATTTTACCGGTGTGGTATGGTGGCTAAGTGTGTAGCCAGTGCTGCCTGGATTTGGGTTTAAATCCCATTCCTGCAGGTGTGCAGAGAGTTCGCGTGGTTTTCGTCCCACAGGTCAAAGACATGCAGGCAGGATAACTGTTATCTCTAAATTGTTCATGGTGTGTAGGTATGTGTACGGCAATGGACTGGAGTCCTGTGCAGGCTGTTTCCCCGCCTTGTGCTGCTTGGGTTAGGCACTACCCCCCCTCCCCCCAGCCAGGCTAAGAGGCTGGAAGATGGATGGATGGCTTAGCTACAATAAAAACTCTACCACTATATTTAAATATAAGGCACAAATCTTGATAGTGGCACCATGCTGAGCACTGCTACCTCACAGCAGTGGGACTGGGATTCAAGTCTCTGCCCCAGTTCCATGTGTGTGGAGTTTGCATGTTCTCCCAGTGTCCCAGTGGGGTTTCCTCCTCAATCTCGAAATATGGTTATGTGTATTTTTCAAGTTGCCAAATCGCCCAATGCTGTGAGTAGAGTGTGTTTGTGAGTGTGTGTGTGCGTGTGTGTGTGTGTGAGTGTGTGTGTGTGTGTGTGCGTGTGTGTGTTTGTGTGTGTGTGTGAGTATGCACCCTACTAGAGGTTGACATGCCATCCTGCCTTGTGCCTGTAATTTTCAGACGGGCTCCACACCCTGACAATCCTGCAGAGGTCAAGTGAGTGCAGAAAAAGGATGGATGGAAGGATGGATGGATGGAAGGATGGATGGGTACAAATTTTCACATTGCTGGATATAGTATAGTACTTGGCGACTGAGTGTGTAACTCTCTGGGTTACACCTCTGTCACTGGAAGGTCACCACTTTGAATCCTGTAGCTGTCAGAGTGATCATATCACTCTTGGGTCCTTCAGCAAGGTCCTTAACGCTGAGAACTGCTTCAGACAAGCCGAATGCATGGTTTCACTTGGACCCTTGTGTCTGTCTCATATGTACTTGCAAAAAGACAAATAAAGTATCATTATTATTATTTTTAGGAAATGTTTGGTATAATATGTTAATTAAATTCTTCTATCCATGAAACTACCATCTGCCAGAAATGTCTCTTTAGGATAGATAGATAGATAATATTATTAATGTACTTGACACAGTTCACAGTGAAATCTAGAAGGTAAAGTTAGTTTTTTTTAGAATGGAACATCCGTTTGTCCTCATATGCTCCAATCTAGAATAATCCACCACTTCCTGTTTAATAATTACGAAATATTGTGTTCAGAAGGATATTTAGGAATATCTGATATGTATTGCAATTCAAATATTAGGTTAAATGACATTCCCTGGACTCAAGTCAATGAACTTCAAGTATTCTATTTCCATTGGAAATTGACTGCACTAGCTGCAACAAATATCTAAAGATACATTTTGTCTGTGGTGCTCAAACATGGACAGTTTAGGGTAATCAAGTAAACCACATGTCATGCACGAAATGGATTGAAAATGCCTGAAGTGAAACCCAAAGAAAGCATGTAGACTCTCCTTGTGATAGAGATGAAATCAAATCTAACATTGAAAAATGCAAACTACATGATTTTCTATTATTGGCATTATATCTTAGTACAGGGTATGAAGAAAATGTCCAAATACAACTGTATTTTAGTGATATAATGAAAACAGGAACCTTTTATTCATTGGCTCTAACAAATTCAGGAGGGGGGGCGGCATGGTGGCGCCGTGGTTAGCCTGCTGCTTCACACATTTGGGACCGGGGTCCAAGTCTCCAACAAGGTTGCAGATGTGTGCATTTGGCATGTTCTCCCAATGTCATTCTGGGGTTTCCTCTGGTTCTCAGTCCAAGAACATGCTAAGGCTAATTGGAGTTACCAAATTGCCCATACTGTAGGTGTGCATGTGTGAGTGAATGGTGTGTGTGTGAATGGTGTGTGAGTGTGAATGGTGTGTGTGTGAATGGTGTGTGAGAGAATGGTGTGTGTGTGAATGGTGTGTGTTTGAATGGTGTGTGTGTGAATGGTGTGTGA